TTAGGCATCTGATAAACCTAAAATAAATAAAGATATAAGAAAAGAGAAGGTTTGTTTATTTTTATTTCATTTTAGTTGAAGGGTTTCATGTTTTACACCAAAAAAGTATCATCTAAAAACATATCTTGTTTTTCATAAACACAGGACGGGGGATATACGTAATGAAGTGGCCCTAAAATTCTATTGACCCATCAGCCTCTTAAGGTCTAAATCCGAACTTGACTGCCACAATAAGCAAGAGCAATCTACTTGATTCTTAGAGTAGCTTAGAGAAATGTAGTAAATGTGATCCACCCCTTTCCCAAGGTGACGCTGAGGGTTAAGCAGGTTTGACGGTTCTATATCCAGCGCCCGTAAACGTAATGTCCAACTGAAGAACATTGGGATGAAGACGACACAAATCAGTTTGTTGGTCCTGATGAGTAAATGTGCAAGAACGACATTGTCTCTTAAAGGTTCCGTCAGAAAAAAGAAAACACCGAAGAATACAGCAGTTAAAGAATTTTAACAAAAAAGGAAACAAAGACGAGGAGACTAGAGACTGGAAACTGATTCACAATGAAGAAAAGAATTAAAATAGTAACAAAAACACTCCAAAGAAATTCTGTAGGGCGACAGAATCAAAACATAAAGAATAATGTGATCAAAGCATCAAGCAAAAAAAAAAAAAAAAAAAGACAAAACAAAAAACAAAAAAAAAACAAGAGAAATAAAAAATGGAAGGAAAATACGGAAACGAATGACCTGGTTAGGAAAGATCAATAAATAACGGTAGGGAAATCACGTGCTAGAACGGCAGAAATAAAGACAACAGAAAAGAGGAAACTAGTCGGCAAGAATCAGTGCAGAATAGTAAGCAAAATCAGTTTCAAAAAGGCTGGAATAATGAAAACAGAATAAAAGAAAAACGCTTTACTCCAACAAATTCAACTGTCGGGATTCGTCTACACAGGTTTTTTTTTTCGTTTTTTACCTGAATGTCGGGATTGCAAACATTTAGCAACAATAACCACACGTCTTTTAAATGAAACATAAAACGGTTAATCTCTGAAGGAAAAAAAGTAGATGCAAAACGTCAGTTAAAATAACATCTATATATTCTTCTCGGAAATATACGATAACAATAACATGTTCAAATTTCATTGTAGTGAAGTTTGTTTTATCAAGTAATTAAACGTTCGTTGTGAGTTGTGTAGATAAACTTATATTATGACAGCGTCCTGGGTATGACGAGAGACTACATCCGGCAGCAAGGCCTCTGATTCGGAGGTTTTAAGGAGCGTGGAACCACCTCTTAATCACCAGGTCCGCTCTGAACCGGGATGATAGCACCTGTTAGGGTTTCAGGTTTGGGCAAATAGCTACCCCCCCAACTGTGGCTAAAACAATATTAAAGTATAAAAATAGATTTTATAGTGAAAATAGAAGCAATACATTTTTGAAAAAATATCAGCCAGTGAAGTTTGTTTTATCAAGTAACTAAATCTTCATAATGCGGTGTCGACATAAAGACGGTCAGCCTAATTTCTGTGAGTTCGTTGACAAGGTCTACAATGACCCCTTAGTCAGCGAGTGCTGGCTGCCGTCTTTCCCATTGTTTAAAAAACAAGGAATTTTAACATTCATACACGCTGGGAAAATTTTTGTTGTAAAAAACGTGAAAATAAAAAAAAAATCTTATATTTTCATATTTAAAAACTTTTCTCGCCTTTTGTTTTTGTTGTGGGTTGATTCAAATTTTCAAATCACGTCATCATGAAAAATCTACTACGGCTGAGAAACAGGTGGTCATTTGAACGCCATGTCTTCAGGGAAACACGCAATAATCTTATCAAAATCTCGTTAGAGAAACACGGGATCATCTGAACATCGACCAGACATAATTGTGAAAAAATCATGTTGAAACACATCTGAGATACTACAGTCTACTGAATTCTACATCTAGTTCCGTGTGTTTTTTTTAGTTTCTCAGACGTTTTCAAAATGTTTTTGTCGGCTGCAACATCTAAGTAAATGCACGGACCTCAGGGTAGAATAAGTAGACTGTAGCATCTCAAGACAATAGTATTACCTGTTGTTACTGGGTCTTAGTAATGGCATCTTAATAAGAATATTAGAATGAATGCAAGCGAACAATCGTTGCAGCACCTCGTGTCAGATGCGTTTAAATAAATACAGCAAAAAGGTGAAAGTAATATTTTAACAAACTATTATTTTTTAGAGAAGTGTATCCCTGTCCAGACTTCCTGAGGCTGACCTTAGGGGTCAGATAGAAGACAAAGCAAGAAAGTCGATTTTGAATGGCTAAACGAACGTGAGAACGATGAATAGAGAAAACGTTTACAGGGAGTTGAATCTAAACCGTCATGCAATGTAGACGTGTTTCCTTCGTGTCTAGAAGCGGCTTCCCCGTGGAGGGAGAGCAACGTCATTGGATAGTTAGAGATGTATACGTCGACGTTAATAATATAGTTAAGTTAAAATTCCCCGTGTTGAAGTTCTTTTCTCTCGGGACTCAAAACAACTAGCGATCACCGACAGAGGGAGAGAGAGAGAGAGAGAGAGAGAGAGAGAGAGAGAGAGAGAGAGAGAGAGACCATGCAACATAGGCTGTTCCTCCACCCCAAAAAAAAAAATTGAAAACATTTTTTAGCTAATAACATAATCAATTTTCAGTCAAATTATCACAAATTTTAACAAAATTTATAAAAACTATTTTTAATTTTTATATTCTTTTCAGTGTGAAGTATGACGTTCAATAGAAATGCAAAAGGTATTTTATGTATTAGAATATGCACAACCACGTTCAAACAAGAGTATGGAGTGTGCATTTTCAAGAAAAATGCACCAACTGGACAGCAGATTTGGACATGGTATAAAAGACAAGCTGTCTGTGCAGGGCAAAGGGATCTGAACGACCACCAGTATTGGAAAATATCAGGTTCGGGATACATTTGTGCGAAGACCGAGAAAATCTGTAAGCCTAAAGGAAATTAAGCAGAGAATCACTGAGACGATGGAGAATGATACGCAAGACATGCTACAGCGCGTTTAGCAGGAGTTGGACTTAACGTGTGTCGTGTCACATGTTGCGCGTATTGAACATTTGTGAAGTTTTGTAAAATTGCATATAATGTCTAAATCACTTTGAATATCTTGTTCAAATTTTGATAAATGAATTTTTTTATTGTTCAACATGAATCCTATTTGATTTCGTTTGTCTGAGACATGTAGTTACTCAGATATTCACGTTTTAAATGGTGTCGATCTTAGGGGGACATCATGTATTGTTATATAATATCAAGGAAAATTGTGATAAAAACAACAGCGTAGGATACTGTTTCGAACGTATCAATGTATAATAGTAAAAACATCTTTGTGACTAAAGATGCATTAAACTAATTGACGATAATTTTGAAGAATTCAAGTCGGAAATGTTATGAAGACAAAAATGACTGGATTCGTTAGGATCACATGTTTGTCCTTTCAAAGCATGTCAGTGCATTCGTAACGACTTTCAGTACGTCTCTCACGTTCAAACAATGGGTAAATTTTATTGGTCTACATTGTACCTGCAACCCCTGCCTTATTGAAAGAGCTGAATTTATCCCATTCTCAAAGTTACCAATTCGAAGAGAACATATTTTTTGTCTTAATCATTTCGCCCAAATTAAACCACTAAGAAGCAAGTGTTATTGAGACTGAAAGAAATTGAGCAAATGTTATTAAAGAATGAGGAAAATAAAAGAACATAATTGAAAAAGACAGATTGCCGTTACATTTAAATTTTTGAAGTAATTAACACGAAAGTAGGTATCTGGAAGAGAGTTCAAAAAGTGAAAAGTGAGAGAGAAGAAACTGCATTGAACTTACAGTTAGACTTAGTAATTTAAAAATTAAAATGATGAAACCTATCTGCAAATTCGAGGTACCAAAGAGCAATTACCATGAAAATATTTATATAAAGTCACATGGAAGCTACGTTAGGCGTTGGTAATGTGATTGAAGGAGAGTTGCCAAGTCAGGACCGATAACATTTAGGATTCTCTTTTGGATTATGCAAAGAACCTCTAAATACAGTTAAGAACTATCAGATCAGGTGTGGCAGCAATATTCAATGCAGGGAAGAATGATAGTCTGTGAAAATTGCAAGATAGAGTCTGGTGAGAAATTTAGCTGGAAATCAGGATTAACTGACATTTTGTAAAATTCTTTGAATAAAAAAATACCTGTTCGAAATCAAAATTGAGAAACTTCTAGTCATTTGATTTGAAAAACAACTTTTTATACCATGACCCTTCAGGTAAAACCACGATTCTCCGTATTCTTTTTAGTTCTAAGCAATGTTTATCCTCTTACTATCTAAAGCATCCATTTACACAAAATCGTTTAGATTACTTGCTATTTCCCTCTGGCCCTCGTGCTTTCCATATGTCTTGTGAGTGTCGAATTCTCCAAGCCCTCTTCCTTCGTTATGTGTTGTAGAAATTTCAACTATCTCGAAACTATACGAAATAAATTCCCCATTCCCTTAAAACTTTCACCTTGCTCATATATTCCGTCCATGGTGTTTCTGGCATAATTCTGTAGAGCTGTTGCCTCATAGCTGTTGCCTCATGTCTCCTCTTCATCAGTGGGGATATTGTCCAGCATTTACTGTCATATAGGAGGGTTGATATTAGATAGCAATTCAAGATTCTGGGCTTTGGTTTTAAAGATTTTTCCATTTTTTAAACCTGTGGTTAGCTTCTGAAAGGAAACATTCTATATTCCAATGCACCTTTGGATTTCTGTACTTTTCCGTTTTTCGTAATTACAGTTGTTAAATCAATCAGCATTTCCTATGCTTTCCGTCATTTCATTCTCGAGGAAAAGCTTTAAGTGAAATCGCCGATTATTCTCTCTCGCGAGTCACGAATAATACTGCGACTGCACAACATCCAATGAAATCCACTAATAGATTAGAATTCGATACAATATCCTCTAATTGTCACCTGCAGGGAAGTGAGGAAGAAATGTCCCTCAATGAGTCCTATAAACTTAAATGTGTACTTCATGATTGCCTATCTATCTATCTATCTATCTATCTATCTATCTATCTATCTATCTATACAAATTATGTTGATTTCAAAATAAAAATTCGTGTTTGTGGAGTAGAGACCCGAATACAGTGATTTGCTGTTTCGTGAACAAGGACCAAAATCAGCGAAGAGGATATTCAGGCCAACGGTTGGCAGAAGTCGTAGATTCAGACTGCAGAAAGGATTCTCACTATACATATCATATATCTTCAGAATATCGGTGATCATGGCTCTCCCCAATCTCCTGTCTTTTGTTACTCTTGAGTAATGTTGCTCCTTGACGAACCCTCTGTTATTTTCGTACTTGTTCCATTATTAAATTACTCGAACTTCTCTGTGAGATTTAAAGTCGGTAAACCTTCTGCCCTCCCCATGTGTGCCCAAAAGATTAGCTATTTTTTCTGATAGTTAACAAAAGATTTTCAACTAAAAACATGCATAGTATTCGTTGATTTGGTATTCCCAACATTATTTGGTAAAATAGAATCTCTAACGCTTCAAGGCCATTTTTATCTGAGGAACATCTACATCATTCATAGCAATATAGGAGGTTAGATATAACATAGCAGGCTATCAGTCGTTTCTTCATTTTGATCATTTAATAATTTGCTTGGTTTCTGAAAAGCATCTTTTGTGTCTTCGGATTTCTGTGTCAGACATTGTTTGTTAATTTCATGCTAATATGACGTCCCCAATGCTTCACACTTTGCTTTTCCCCTTTTGCTGACAACCATGCATTCTATCTTCTTACAAAACTCATCGCGCTTTCTCGTATAATGATTTTTAGCTGACATGAAGCGGAAAAAGTATATTGAATCAATTGCTAAATCTTCACCTAAGAAAGTTGTTTCACTACGTCGTACTCGAGACATTTTCTCGCCAGAATCCATCTTGCATAATTATAAGTCTACTATTCGCCCTTGCTTTGAATATTGCCGCAGTCATCTGGTATATTGGTCCTGTCATATATTTATAGATTATTGGGAAAATCGAAATTAGAATCTACAATGTTATTGGCTTCACTCCTTTTCCAACCGCCGTAACTTAGCTTCCCTGTGTCTTTTCTATAAATACTTTCGTGGTAGTTGTTCTGATAAACTTTCCTCTAGGGTACCTAGACTTTATGAGTGTATACACGGCACTGGGTTGGCGACAAGCTTTCATTAATTTATAGTTTAAATGACTAGATATAATCGTAAGTTCTATGCTAAAAATTTCTTATTTCACCCTTCTCGATTGTGGAACTCTCCTCCGGCTTCTTCTTTCCCAGTCAATAGTGATCGTCAAAAATTTAAATGCAATATCAATCGTTATCTGCTGTCTTCTTAATTCTTATTCTTTTATTGTCCTCTCTCTTTAATAGTTGACACTCAGTAAACTACTGGCTTTATTGCTTTACTTGGGGTGAAATGATTACAAAAATAGCTCTCAAATACTTATACTTCTTTTACTTAATATATATATATATATATATATATATATATATATATATATATATGTGTGTGTGTGTGTATTAGCCCTCCCCCGTTCTCGAGAGGATGTGATCTTATGATGTATGGAGGATTGATTGACGATGGATGAGTTTTTTTATGGTTAATGAGGAAATTGTAACGAGTGAATGGGTCGTGAATCCGATTAGCTAGGTATACGATAGATAGTGAAGACCAGCCTCAACCTATTCCCCCTTTTCGGCCTTGCGTAATAATTGCATTAATTTACAGTAAATTTCTCTCTCTCTCTCTCTCTCTCTCTATATATATATATATATATATATATATATATATATATATATATAGTCATCCACAGACAGACTGTTTCGCTGTATCACAGTGCATCAGTGTGGCTAGACGTCCGGTTGCCTCTAGATAGGATCGAAACCCGATTGAATTGGCGTCAGTCGGGGATTCATTACAGCGTACATTTCGACCTGGCGATTGACCAATGAATACTCGTTATATTGTCTGAAGGTAGAATTTGGCTTACTAGATAGGAAGAGTGCATTTCTTACAAAGAGGTAAGGCTGTTTGTGTTGTGGAAGAGTCTACAATACATTCCATCAGAAATTTTCCGAATTTCATTCATTTCGGAATAAATACGGCTTAAGTTTTCGACTTTATTACCTCATCCTTAGACAAATGGGAAGTGTTGTGACGTAATCAAAGCGTATTGTGACGTGACAAGGGGTGACGTGTGCATATTATTTTAAATAAATTTATTGAAATAAAACAAGTTCAGTTGACCATTGATGACTGATAATTATTCGTACAAAAAGTACAAATTGTGGCACGAGGCCAATAAAGGGGACGGGTAGAGGCTGGTCAACACTCACTATCTTATACCTAGCTAATCAGATTCGCGACCCATTCGTACATTACATTTTACTCATTCACCAAAAGAACTCGTCCATCACCAAACAATCCTTCAACCACCATAATACCACGTGCTCTCAAGGGAGACCTACCAAAATCGTGCCCCATGCTATAAAAATTTTAATGATGATATATATATACAATTCTAATAATGATAAAATGAGAGGGGAGGGAAATGAACCCAATAATAAACTTAAAATAAACACAAATACAAACTAAACATAATTGATGTTAGTAGGGACCGACCAAACCAAAAAACAGAGAGACCGCTGTATTCTGCCCAGGGGACAAAATCAAGAGACGCTCTCGCTAAGGGAGTGGGAAAAAGTATAAAATATTAGGCTGGAATGGGAAAATATAAAACTGACCCAGTCGAGATGAAAGGGGGGGTCAAAACAAACTGGGGAGGTTGGGAATCTCGACTTGGATCATAACCAAAGAACGGCCGGGATGCAGGCCAGGAACAACACTTACTCACATTAACTAGGTACACTGAAGCTTGTCTAACCTAACCAAAGGGAGGGTTCCACAGAAAGCCACCCCGATGTGCAATAGGTTGACCTAGAAGAGAAAATCAAGGCTAGCCCCGTTCACACGAAGCAAGCTCGCTTCTTTTACCCACCTTTCGCTAAAGACTGTCGAATGCAATTGTTTTCTATCCGACAATTCCAGTGGTATTTACTTGACTCCCACAGGGTCAGGATGTGACACAAGGTCGGTTTAACGTGGGAGACCCGAGCGTTTCCACTCAAGGGCCACTGGTCCAAAACTGGTCATAGCATGTCCAAGCTGGTCAGAGCTTAGTCAAAGCTGGCCATGGCTTGTCCTAGCAGGTCCAGGCCGGAGCCAGTCATAACTAGTCGTAGCCGTGATCGAATCCCAGCCAAAGGCCGAGAAACGATAACTATAAACGATTTTTTTCTATCCTCCGCCAGCCGCAATGATGGAGAAAGCATTACCTTGAAATTATTTTTTATATACATTTGATGATGCAGCCTCTGAAATTATAATTATTTTTATTTAAAAACATAAGAGAAAACAAAGAACAATTGGAAACATTCATCAATCTAACATGTTTCACTTTTATTAAAACTTCATCATTAAACACACACAGACATACATACTGTGGATGACAATATATATATATATATATATATATATATATATATATATATATATATATATTATAAATTGATTTATTTAAAATATGTTTTTTTTCGCTACACAGTTCTAACCATGTTTCAAAAATGGAAGCTAGAATCTACGAATTATATATATAAGCTACGAATTATATATATATATATATATATATATATATATATATATATATATATATATACCCCCCAAAAATAAATTTCGGTCGAGCACTTTAGAGAGAGAGTACGAATTTGTAAACAGTGACTGCTACTGATAATAATGCCATGTACTTCTATGAATCGAGCCTTTTGAGTCATTGGCGTGTTTAAAATAAATACGTAAAAATTCACCTTCCTCTCTGCCGAGAGCCGATAGCTTAGGAATAAAAAAATCCCCAACTGATGCCAAATCAGTCGTCTTTCGATCCTGGCTTGAGGTAATTGGATGTCCCTCCACTCTGATTAGCTGTGATATAGCGAAACAGTCTGTCTGTGGTTGACAATATATATATATATATATATATATATATATATATATATATATATATATATTCTTTTAGAGATACAAATATTTAAGTAAATGCTCTGTTTTTCTAATAAACAGTATTAATAACATTTACCGACAAATTTTCATAGAAAATATTCGTTCTCTGACAGGAATCGAACCTGTGTCCTATACGGAACCGTCATTTAGCCTGACGTGCCTTAACCAATCGAGCCACGGAAAATCGTTCGATTAGCAAGGTCGATTTTACTGTTTTTAAACTTCAATCTTCCACGTACATTCATATCTGCTCAAAGCGTATCCAAATGTAAACAAATGACGTCACACATATATACACTCACAGGACAACTTGAGGACAAGAGGGACAGGGAAAAACACCGCAATGCATGGTACGACAGGTTTTGGGAAAAGCAGCAAAATGACAAACCCTATTAAGAGTGACAAAGGGTAGAAAGATGTGGAGGGCTATAATCACTTACGTTCTGAAGGGACACAGCATATGAAGAAGAATAAGATGGACGCTGCGCATAATATCGATTATCCCCTTTTACCATTCAACTAACGATATTTATTTATTTCGACCATATTGCCTCATAACTTTAACATTAGTGTTTAAACTCATGAATATCTACACATTTATCTGCAGTAGACATTAAAATCTTTTAACGGAACGCTGATCTTTACTTTCAAATTACAGATGATTTATTGCATTCAGCTTCGTTGACCTTACCTGGAAGGGAGACAACTCCAAGAGTCGTGTTTAATATTCAGACGACACAACGTCCAATGAAGTCCACTAATAGATTTGAATTCGAGATAATATCCTCTAATTGTCACCTGCAGGGATTTGACAAGGAAATGTGTACCTCAATTGGCCCCGCTTTTTGATTTCAGTTGTAAGTACGCTAAGCTTCAATAAAGAAGTATAGATATAAGCAAAACACAGGACTGGCTTCGTTAATATCCCCAAGAAATATTGGTTCTCTTCGAAAATGTATTCCTCATTAACGTTCATCATTTAACCTTTTT